TAATTACATATAAAACTTTGTCTATACTCTAATAAAAAGTTCTCCAGACCAAAGAGGTCACCTTAATACCAAAAAAATAAAAAATAAAAAATAAATATGTACTTATTAACTTTTTTTTTTTTTTATTTAAATCTTTATTTTTTTATTTAAATCTTTTCTTTTTCTTAATCAAATAAAAAAAAAAAATTAACTACAAATTTCTTGTTTAAAAAATAAACTATTAGAAAACACTTGTAGTAAATTATACTAAAATTAGATTATACTAAAAATTTTTTATATTTTATTATAAAATTGTAAAATTTTTTAGAGTTTTTTTTTGTAGTCTTTTTTTTTAGAGTTAGATTAGAGTTAGAGATAGTTTTATTATTAAAAAAATATATGTAGATTTTAGTAGATATTATCTCTTAATTTGTAATACAAACAAATTTGCTTGTGTTTTTATTAAAAATTTTAATTTTATTTAATTAGCTTAAAAATTTTATATAGAAATCAAGAAACCAGAATCAATACATATAAGAACAACTTTATATAGTATTGGCACTGGATATATACTCAACTATTTTTATACTATTGAACTAGACTAGACATTGGACTTGGACATATGCCAATTCAATATATCTAGTAATGATTATATATTGATTTATTTATTATTGTCTAATACTTTTTAGTCCAATAGATTAAACTAAACTGGACAAGTGTTCATGTTCAATTGTCCAGCCTAACACTAACTTCATAGTATTGCAGCCAAAACAAAAAATCTAAACCTACTTCTTTTTCTTCGACAAATATTGCTACTACTATTCTAATATAAACTAATATATCTATTAATTACAACTAATATATTAATACTTGGTTCCTTTATAATACATTACTTTTTATAGCTTCTATTTTAATTTTAATTTCATAAAAAGTTTTTTCTAATCTATCTATTTCTAGAACTTTATTAATCTTGTTATTATTTTTAGCTCTAGAAACCAAAAATAGAGATAAAATATCATACTAGGTATTTAAATCTATTTTAATAATACAAGTAATTTAGATTTTAATAGATAATAAATAGTTATTGGATGTGTAGCATCCAATAACAGTTTTATTTGGCAGGAGAAATAAGAATATCATGATCCGAAGAATTACAGAATGAGTATTTTGGATAACAAATAAAAGAAGTATCTGGCTTTGAATTTAATGTGCTAACCTGGGCCCCAAAGAGGCTCAGATTGTCAAGCACATTAAATTCAAAGCCAGATACGCTGTTATTGGATGCGAAACATCTAATAACAGGTTTATTTTTCTTTTTCTGTTATAATGTGAGTTTGTGTGAGTCTATTTGGCATATAACAACTGTTATACAACTCATATTTACTATGAAAAAGAAAAATAATAATATGTATTACAATCAGTGTTTAAAATTGAATTTTAAAATTTTATGCGGAATACATTTAAAATTTAATTAAATCTGCGGAATTGATATATTAACTTGTATTTTATATTTTTAATTAATTATATATTTGCAGAAATAAATTTAATATGTAGAAAATAAAATCTTTATTTAATAAAATATTTTGTGCAATTTTACTTTATAATAAAACTTATTTTTTTCTAGAACAATATTTCCATACATCATATGCTTTTTCAAAATTAAATTTATCTAAAGGAGGACTATTCATAACTATCATTAAATGAGAATTAAGTGTATTTAATTGCATTTGATTACGAAGCTTTGTTTTAATCAAATTTTGTTGAGAAAATACACGTTCAACATTTTCATTTGAAATAGAAACTATTAATAATAAATATATAATTTGAGTTAAATTAGAATATTGGGTAATAAATTGAGTAGTACAAAAAATAAACTCCCATCCTTTAACAAATTGAAAAGTTATAAAATTGTACAAAATTAATTTGGTGATTTGTCATTCTTTAATAAGCTCATATTTATTAATAATTGCAGAAAATACTTGACCATTCTCAATTTGATTTTTTCCATAATATTCAGCAAGATATTTAATTTTTTCTTCGTCAAATGTACTTATTTGTTGTACTGCTGATGAAACTTGTTTAAAATCAAATATATATATAGTATTATATAATGCTATATTAAGAAATTGGTATCATAGATTAATTATTATTGCATTAGCAAATTCTTCAATAAAGCTAGAAATTATATCAATCAAATATTGCATACAATAATCACATAAATGTGTTCCTAATGTTGGGTTAATATTTTCATCAGGATATCCAATAAATTCGATAGTAATAGAATTAATTGCTTTGTTTAACTTCTGATAAACATCTGAAAGAGCCACATAATCTGATTGAAATATTTTATATAATGCTGATATTATTGCCAAATATCTGCAAGAAATTTTGTTGCTAAAATAAAATCAGCATCTAGTTCATCTAATAAGTTTTGTGCACGTAATTGTGCTTTAGCTATAGAATTATTTTTTATATCTTCTTGAAGTGCATCTATTACAGAAAAAATTATCTAATATAAATTAGATACAGCATTAGATAAAGAAAGCCATCTGGTTGATATAACCTGCAAAATTGCTAATTCCAAAGATTCATCATCTTGTGCTTGAATTAATTGAAGATTTTGCCATCTACTATGCGAATTAGCAAAATATACATAGAGTTCCTTAATTGTAACTTCATAATCAAGAAAATAAGGCACATCTTTTGCTGAATCTTTTCTAGCTAATGCTAATCGATGAGCAATACAATGACAATTACTTATAAAAGGATTTAACTTTTTAAGTTTTGTAGAAATACCATTTTGAACTCCTTATATAAATATTAAATAATTAATAAATAACATATGCTAATAATTTAAAAATATATAATACTAATCTATTATTTACTATCACTATCACTTCCAAAATGCAATAACTTTAAAGGGTCTAACATTTTTGCTAAAAAAAAATTATTTAAATTATACATAATGCCTGCTGCATCTACTTCTTTTAATTCAATTAATCCAAGATACCGAAGTACAGGAATATTATTTGCTATATGTTTGCTTACAATTGCACAAGTTTTATCATGTGTAATTGTATTACTTTCGTCAATTAGCAAACTCCAAGCAGATGATTTTCTTGTTTCTTCCAAAACAGATTTCTCAATTACTAAAGCAATTGCATGTAAGAAGGTAGCTCCGGAAACAGGATTAGTATATTTTGCATAATTTCAGTTAGAGATTGTTAAAAGTTGTATAACACAGATTATTCTGTTTTTTGGCAAAAATCTGCAATTTTGTAGTACAAAATTTGGCCAAATTATTAACACTTTTGTTATTTATTACATAACAGCTTTATAAAGCCTCAGGGATCCCCAGGAATTCCTAAACTACATCATCTTGGAATACTTTTTGCAAAAAAATTTCAAAGGATTTTTTAAAACTGATGGTTATTTTC